AATCCTTTCCCATGATATATGTATAGCTTGTTTGTTCAAGTTTTTTTGGGTTAAAAGTGCTTTTTTAGCCGAAAGTATATTTGGCCAAAAATGAGGTGTTTGGCTAAGCTTTGGAAGGAAAAAAAAAATGTTTTTGAGGAGAAACAAAAACCGTTTTTGAGAAGTAGAAAAAAATAGCTTCTCTCTAAAAGCACTTTTCTGAGAAACAATTTTGAGAAAAATACACTTAGAAGCAGTTTTCAAAAGTTTGGCCAAACACTAATTACTGCTCAAAAGTGCTTTTTAAATTAATTAGCCAAACACAAACTCATTATAAGAACTTTTTTAAAAGTACTTTTGAGAAGAACACTTATCAAAATAAGCTGATTTTAGAAGTTTGTTCAAACATGCTAGTAATCAATTTCAATTTATTTGAGATTGCAGTACAATAATAGTTAATTTAATTAATTAGTTGAAGACAAGGGTAAATTAAGACAGAGAATATTTCGCATCATTGAATTGTTGTTGGGAAAAAACATAAGTATAACCTTGACCTATACCCGAATTTCCAACTACACACTTTTTCTTTGAGAGAATCCTATTACCCCCCTAAACTTATTTTAAATGGAATTATTTTCACCTAAAACTAGACAACCAAACTCTTGGCAAGTGGTGAACTACACGTGTCCCCACATGTATTTTAGTACTTTTTTTATTCTTTCTTCTTTTTCTTATCCTTTTTCTTAATTATTTCTTATTATTCTCGTTTTTTTGGTTATTTCATTCTCTTTTGTTTTGTTTTGGTCACCGGCGACATAAAATGGTGGTCGTCAGAATTTTACAAATATCATTTTTTCCGGCGAATTTTTTTCTCCGGCGACAGATTTTTATCCCTATCTAAGTGTGTTTTGTTTTATATATATAGATTTTTTTTTGAAAGTGTAATTAATGAGTGGGAGGAAGAGCAAAAGAATTAAAAACGAATATAAGCTGAGAAAATTTTTTCCAGTTAAAATTTCAATACATCATTTTTTTCCCGCGTGGGAAGGTTTTCCGATGATTAATTTTTTCCCCCAAATCTGAGTGTATTTTGCTTTGCTTATGAATAGATCTTTTTGAGAGTTTAATTTGTGTGTGAAAAGAAAATTGGAAGAAAAACAGTTAGACAAAATCGCCAGTGAATGAATATTCGCCGAAATTAGAGAAAAAACGAAAAAAAAGTAAAAGAAAAAAGACAAAGAAAAAGGAAAAGGAAAAGAAAAAGAAAAAGAAAAAGAAAAAAAATAGTAAAAAAGAATAAAAAATAATCTGAAAATCGTTTTTTCTTGCTTCTCACTCTCCTTTGAAAGAGTGAAATACACATACTCTGTCACGTCAGCGTTAAGGGTGCAAATAATTCCATTTAAAATAAGTTTAAGGGGGTAATACGATTTCCGCAAAGAAAAAATGTGTAATTGAAAATTCGGATATAGATAAGGGGTATTTATGCATTTTCCCAATTATTGTTTTATGGGAATCATTTCTTCTGAGGCAAAAGTATTTCAGTGAATATGATCAACGTCAATCATTGGGGGCCAGCCCCAACTTCGATTCCACTTACTTTAAAAATATAATTAAATATATCTATAATATGCTCCTTTGTTTAGGATATTTTTGACTGTTAGAACAAATATTATAACATGATATAAAATATTAATTTAAAAAAAACTTGGTTGTTATAATAAAATGCTATTATAGGAATTACTATTATAAAGAAATTTGACTAAAAAAGAAGGACCTACCTATTCTTTTTTATAAGATAAACTACTAATATAAAATTTCAAAAGGAATTTGAGTTCTAGGTTCGGATACAACGTAACCATGCAAGTTCTTTCAAATCAAGCATCTAAAAAAAATTATTGTTGTATATTATTGATGTCAAGATTTGATGTACTAGGAACTTTAAAGCATTCAAGTCTATCAAGTTAACTCGGGTGAAACTGTTCATGAGTTTGGACTAATTTGTCTTGATTTTATATTCTTGTTATAATTATGAAATTGGACCAAGGGTGTGTTTAGTACTTAAAATAATTTTTGGCCATAAATAATAGTTCAATATTTCTATATATTCATTTGATTGTAAATATTAATGTGATATCTCAATCAAATCTCACATCGATGAAACACGAAAGAGAAACTGGATATACAAGTAAACAAGCCTTAGACTCTAGTGACGCATAGCATGTGCTAGCCAGTTTTCGGACTGATCATTCAAAAATAGCCAGCATTTGCAAAGTCAATGAAAAATAGCCACTATTTTGCTGTAACAGGGATCGATCAAGCATAATATACTGGAGATCGATGCATCTGTGTATGAACTTCCAGCATATTATGCTGGAACTTTAACACACGGAAAGTTCCAGCATAATATACTGGAGATTGAAGCACATGTGTATGAACTTCCAGCATATTATGCTGGACCGGTATATTGTACTGGAACTCCAGTATATTATGCTGGAGTTCCAGTATACTTATGCGAGAACTCCATTATAATATGCTGGAGTATTTTTCGGATTTTGAACAATGTTTTCGTTCATATTTATCTTTACATAAAAAGTGGTTAAAATTCGATTACTTTTGAAACTGTGACTATTTTTGAATGACCACTTGTAAATCTAGCTATTTTTGAATTTCTCCCATTCTAAATTTGTGCGAGCCTAGGCCCGAAACGGACAATATCACTAGTTGGCTGGGCTGTTACATATGGTAGAGAAGTCATTCCGCGTGCAACCTTGAACAGCGATGTGGCAAACTTCAACGATCTGGGTATATAATTGTAAACCAGCCTTAACCTCTAGTGACACATTTTACAACTGATAATATCACTAGCGGATAGGAGTGTTACAGTTAACTAACTTCAATATTTAAAATACTGATGAATAACTTGTAAAAGAAAATCTCATATGAAATAGGAGAAATAATTTTGATACTCAAACCTTCAATATTTTTTCCAAATAAAATTTATGTATAAGCACTTAAATTTAATATATGCTAGGTATATTCCTTTGAATATCATCCCCACCCCACCCCACCCCACCCTTTCCTCTATGTGTACCGCGTGTGTGTGACCTACTCATTTAAGAAGAGATTTCATAGTTTCTTTCCAAATATTATACATTGTCTTAATCTAAGTCGTACAAAATACAGAAAAATGGCATTGTTGGGGCCAGAGGGGGTAGTAGTACAAAAATTTGTTGCGCAATCAAAGGTTGATTTATGGTAAAGTTTTATATTTAATTCAAATGAAATGGGCCATATCTAGGGTTACAATGCATGTGAATCTGTTTAATTAATAATTTCAGGTCACTACTTTTTGTTTATATATATTTGTTCTATATATATGTAACTACTAACTACCCCACACTCGAAAATATATTAAAAGCTGAAAGAATCCCGAAAAGGAAAGTTCAGTACCTAATATTTCTTAGTAGTATTTAATCAAATAGTCAGTTTTTTTCCCCATCACTGCTTTTAAAATGGCATATTAAAGAAGACTCAGTTTTCTTGCTTCTCTTTTGGGGAACAACCAAAAGGGAAATTTTACAGAGAGTTTTATTATAAAGGCGCATAGGCCATAGCACCAATTGTCAATTACTTTAGGATTGATTAGTCCCCAGGTCAGAATAGATTAGTCATACAATTATTATAGAAATAATATAATAAAAGAACAATTTGAGTAAATAAAACGGAAAAAAGACCAAAAATGCTCTTGAAATATTGGAGACGAACGTCAATTTTAATTACGAGTTATATTTATGAGCCAAAACCTTTTTTAAGAATTTCCTAATTAATGTTAGCGAGTGGTTAATTTCATTAGCATATGATTATCTTTTGTTAGATGAAAAAAGGAAAAATTAAACATCAGAAGACAAAACCTTACATATTTTACGATAGACTCACACCAAATTACTTGGGATTTTTTCAATCCAATACACTATTTGAAACTTTATTATTTTTAATGTCTATGTTTAGCTAATTACTCGGTATAAATAAGTTTTGTTACAAAATATATACAATCCACCTTAAAAGTTTCTCAATCCATTATTTGTGCCTTCAATCACGGGATTTAGTTACACCCTTTTCCTTTTTTCTCTCCTCTCTCCCCTCTTCTCTTCAGATTCTGTCTTTCTCCCCATATCTCGAGTAAACAATTTCCCAACTAAATCCGCTGATACCTGCTGATACTGTAATCATTTTTTACCTCTTTAATATTTTGTCTGTTGATTTTCTTTGTTTGTATATTTTACTATGATATATATCGTCGTCTCTTCCTTTTGTTTCTTTTGCTAATTAACTATCTATCTTGTTTTGTGTATTGCAGGTATATGATGAAAAGCAACTACCGGGAAATTTTACTGATTATTCAACGTAACTTACCATACTGATTATTCGGTATGAGTATTATTAACAACTTCACCCATAGTGTACATTTACACCAATTCATATTTCTTTTTGTCCAAAAAAAATTTCTGTTTTCGAAACAAAACAGATGTAAATTTACTAACTTCACTATAAAAGCTGTTGAATACTCCAAAAATACTTGCAGAGGTACACAACAAAAAGAATTAACGAAGTAATGATTATACCGACGCTGAACATTAGCTAAATTAAATAACACTCCACTCTTGTCATTGTGTGGCCGAAAGGTATATTATTACCTTAATTAAATGACAAAAGAACTCTAAAAGTGAATAAAACTGCATAGAAACGAACAAATTCGGCCACCCATAAAAAAATCCTAATAAACTTGCACAATAAGCAAAATCCTTTGACAACTTGCACACTTGTAGTTCTAATACCTGAAATAACAGAAGCAAACACCTATATTACATGTACTCAGTTTTGATTTTTGCAGATTGGCTGACGCTTACAAGGTTACATTCAGCTATNATTTATACATAGTAAAAATAAATTTCACACAACTAATTATATATTATACAATTTATCTACAACTTATCTACAACTTTCACACATTATTTCTCCCCAGTTAAATACAACTACAATAACATACAACTTAAATCAAAATTTTATATAAAATTTATACAATATGTCTTTTTTATATTTTGTATCTGATTTATACATAGCAAAAAAAAATTTCACTTTCTCTCTCTATAACCGTTTCTCTCAGCGCTCGATTAGGTGAATCTACTAACGTGCGCTGCTCACCGGAATGGGAGGGCGAGGAAGACCACGGAAGCGGGTGAATAAGGTACTGCTTACGGATCCCAAGCTGCTCGAGGAACTGAAGATCGGAACAGGAAGTGGAAAATCACCAGCTGGAGGGAATCTCCATGGATCTGCTGCAAAGCATACAACAATGGATAAGGAAAATCAATCGAGCAAATAGGAACTGGTCACGCCGATAGCTGGGAAGGGGAAATCAATTGTGGATATGGATGAATCAAGCACATGCAGGAAGGCTAACAATAGTGATAGTACTAATTGCCAAGCAGGGGGTACCTCTGGGGTAAAAGATGTGCAAACTCAGAGTAGTGGTTCTGACAATAACAAATCTAACAACAAGGAGAAGAAAGATACTCAAAAGGTAGTAGGAAATGGAAGTTTGCCAATGGAGAATAAAAATACACAAACCTGGGCAAGTGTAGTTACTGTGAAACCTCCTTTTTACACACCCGAGAGTGATATAAGGGAGTTTTTCCAATTTAAGTGACATTATTCTAAAATGAGATTATTTATTTTTTTCAGAGTCGCCACTTGGGAAAGGTTTGGCTTTTAGTGTCCCAAGTCACCGGTTTATCTTGAATCCCAATTCGGGGAAAATATTCGACTTTCCGAATGAAGTCTGCGAACCAGAAATTCTAAGTAAGGAATTCTGTTGACCCGAGGGAAGGTGTTAGGCACCCCCGAATCCCGTGGTTCTAGCACGGTCGCTTACATTGTTGTAATGGCTAAATATCTGATTTTTATACACGTTATATCTTGTGTGCTTTTATTAAGTTTAAACCGCTTTTATTATTATTTTTAATAGAATTGCAACGTCGTAAAAACGCATCTCGAACCACGTCACAATCAATGCACCCGTGGTTGTTAATACGTTTCGACTCCGTTGAGATTTGGATTTAGGTCGCATAAATGCGCACCCAAGTTTAGGAAAGTAATATTATTAAAATCGCCTAAAGATACTAACACGTTTGCAAGTTACGAGGGCCATGAAATTTACTAAATGGCACACCTCAAATTCTAAGGATTAAACGACACTTTGACTAAAAGCGAGGGCCAAGATTTCGTTATTTTTTAATTAGTATGGCGCGCCTCGAGCAAACTACGATATTCATGATTTGCTCCTTGCCTAAGCAATACGTGATTCGTTTAAGCAAATATGGTGCGAGATATTTCATGCAATAATCTTTATCTGGTCAGAATAAATAGACGAATTCGGACCAACATCTAAACAAAATTGACACACTGTATATAGTATTGCATAAGATACTTACCCAATCTTAATAAAGCGGCTTGAGAATAAGGGCTTTTTTTTAGTGAAAGAAAAAGCTTTTATTGGGATTAAACTAAGTTATATGTCAAAAAATAAAAATAAAAGAAAAATTAATATACAAAATCTTCTAGTAGTTGGTACGTACTATTTTTGACCCAAAAATAGAAAGAAATGAGACTAGGCTTTTAATCACCTCTATACAACTTCAATCCTTTCTTTCTTCTTAGTTTTGCCAATCCCTTTTTTCACATGAGAACAGATTCTTGTGGTTGCCATGAAAATATATCGGTTTACAATGGTGAGAAGTGAGTTTTGTCCACTAAAATTCATGCCATCAACATTTAAACACTTCTAGAAAATATTAAATCTCATGTACTAGTCAAATAAAAAATATATAGGAAAAAATCATTCTTTTCACCTTGGGTGCGGTACTTCAATGCAACAAACAAGCAATATTAGACCAAATGAAATTAAAAGAGGGAGACCCATGGATAGCATGATAAATCCATTAACAAGAAAATGAAATGAAACCATAAACCACAACTTAACTTCACTACAACAATCATACCATCATGAAAATATTCATTCATTTCCTAAACTCATAAGATTTAAGTAGAATACTTGATTGAACAAAACTCTAAAACAACGAGTTTATAGAATAGCTACAGAGTCCAACAACCACAATAAGGAGGAAAGTAGTTACACAAAACTATGTGATTTAACTCTTAATTACAAACCCCCTTTTGGGCAGAATACACTAATTGAAAACTCAAAAGTACACAGTGATAGTATATTAAAAGAAGAAAGGGTGTAGACTAGCTTTCTCATTCTTAATTCATGATTCAAGTTTACACCTCAAATGATATCCATAGGATCAAGATATACCTGGAAAGAGGAAAACAGAGAGGGGGGTGAGATTTAGCAGACTCAGCAGCAGCAAGAATCAGTGTTCAGCAAGCACAAATGAACCCAGGAATGACTAAAGAGGACCAACTTAAAACTCACAATTTAGAACCAACAGTATATCAATGGAACACAATCAACAAAACCACACCAATCAGGGTCCAATTACTTGAATGCAAACTAAATTTAGCTCTTCAAATTGATGAAAACAGTTCAAGAAGAGTGAGCTAAGAGAGATCAGACAATCAAACTTAAACCAACAATACAGTTTTCTGCACTTTTATATCATTTCTTCTGGATTTCTCAATTTCCTCACTCAGGTTTTCAAAATGTCCAAGGTTGTCCCTCTCTATTGCTCTCCGTCAGATTGTTAAGCTTCCTTGACCTCTCTATTTTTCAGGTTTTTTTCTTACAATTTCACATTTTTTTTCTTGTGTTCTACCTCCCTTTTATTCTGATTTCCAGCTCTCTAAAGTGGGCATTCCATTAGTGCATTTGCCACTAACAACTTATCTTTTCAGTTTTTAATTATCCCACTACCCTAGTGCCTTCTTATTTTACTAGTAATGCCCATTTCAATCCCCTAAAATCAACCAGTGCCTTTCTCGTTACAAGTGTCCACTCCCTTATTAATTAATTAGTTAGTGCAACTTCCATTACCAATCTCCTTTTCCATTTTTTAATTGTCTACTTGCTGAATTAGTGACACACTATCCTAGTGTTGTTATTAAAAATCAGTTGATGAATTGCAAGCCATTATGTCCAGCTATAACTAATTCGAGCAAACATACGGGCAAATAGCTAAATGAACAACTTCAAATCCGCGGAGAGCAACTACGAAAGAAAAAAAAATCTATAACTGCAGCTTCTTAACTACGTTCAATCCACCAGCATTTGCGCAGTAAGGGTGTAAACTGTCCAGAAAACATGTTCTAGGAAAAGACATAAAATCACTCCAACATTTCCTATAACAAGTATTTGGCCAGCAACTTAATTTCAATATCATTTGGAATACCAATGGCGCAAGTCTTATCTTTACGGTATCTAACTTGATTTTCCTAAATCAATTAGAATATGAAGATTGCAATTCTACCTTTGCACTATTAGGTAAACGTTCATATTTACAATATGACAGTAAAGTAAGAAGAGGACATTTCCTTTACAGAGCAACCAAAACCCATGTATTGGCTATACAGATTCAAACTTATGCACAAATCAAACCATATCAACTCAATCATCAAAACCATGTATATGAAATTAAAAGAGATAGGAAAGATTTGAACCTAGTGTTGCCAATTAATGAGAGTTTTCAACTTCACAACTTCTGGACGCCAAAATGGCTACAACAAGTGACACAACTGAAATTTGAACAACAGATGCAAAACGGACCTCTAACCGGAAACAACGATTCTGCGAAATGTGACTCCGAACCTCGACAGTGACTCAAAATCAGCGAATTCAACTCTGACTCAAAAAAACTCCATCTCGCCACTAGTGAACGCACAAGCTAGTCTCGCGGCAAGGTTAAAGCAATGTAAACAATCCATAAAGCAAAGAGAAATGCTAACCTTGCCCCTGTTTCTGTCCGTTTCCTCTATGTGGATTAGAGATGAGAAAATTAGTTCATCTTTTCGCTCTTGTTCTCTCCCTATGTTTACGTGTGTGTGTGCATGGTTTTCAGGCTAAACATGCCGCGAATTTGGTGGCTGTTCGGCAACGGGGCTGGGTGGAGTCGTGTGGTTCGTGGTTGGAGATGGAGGAGGGAGCTGTGGCACCGCTGGTTGAGGTCGTTTGTTGGGTGGGGAAACGAAGAAGACGGGGTTGGGAGGCGTGGAGAGGACGATGGTCTGGGAGGTGTTATTTGGGGGTGGTGGCTCTAATTAGGGTTGAAGAAGATGAGGAAATGAAAAATGAAATGGAGTGGGGGTCGTTTGTCTAGGGGTAGTGGACCGGGTCGGGTTGACCGGTGGGTTGGGGCTGATTTGGGCAGGTATAAGGGTGTTTAGTTTGGGCTTGGGGTGAATTGGGTTGTAATTGGCCCAAATAGGGTCTTTTAATTAAGAAGACTAATTCTTACTTCTTTTTTTTTTCATTTTCTCTTCAATAAAAATGCAAACCTAATTTTAACCTTGATCAAATTATCCTAGAATACTAATCTAAATAATAATTATCACACATAATCAAATACCAATAAACTTACACAATTTTGATATTAAACACTAAAATGCAAAGTACGTTATTTTTTGTGATTTTTCATATTTGTAAAACTTACTTAATTAATCCTAATTGTACAATTAAATCCAAAATGCAACATATTTTTCATTCTTCATTTATTTAAACACATAAATATGTACGGACATAGGCAAATAATGACATAAAATAACATAAAAATTCAACAAAAATGCATACAATAAAACCGACAATGTTTATTATTATTTTTTATTTCTTTGGGAGTAGTTCGTATGGGGAAAAAATCACGTGCTCACAGTTACAGGAAGTAAGATGGCTTCAAAAGGCATGAATCTGAGATATATTCTACCAAGCATCCAAGAAGGGAAGACAATTGTGAAATTGGAGTAGGAGGATATAGAAGAGGAGAGTGAAAAATGGAAAATGGTTGTAATCCTGTATGTTATTGGAGACTCACCATCCATAGGAGCAGTGGAGAGATTTTTAGTAACACAATGAAAATTTGCAGAGAAGCCTCAAGTTTATTATCATAATTATGATTACTTTGTCATCCGATTCAAAAGCATAGAAGACAGAGAGAAGGTGCTGATATCAGGCCCAAATACAATCAACAATAGACCTGTGATAATGAAGGAATGGTCGACAGACTTTAATTTTTAGAATGAATTGCTTAAAACCATACCAATTTGGGTGAAGTTTCCTAAACTTCCTCTAAGTTGCTGAGGTATGAAGTCACTAAGTAAAATTAGTAGTGGTTTAGGTACCCCTGTATATGTAGATGAGTGCACCACCAATATTGCAGGCATATCATATGCAAGGGTCCTTATTGAAATGGATATTACTAGACCACTTCTTAAAAGTATTGTTGTACAGGACCCTAAGGGAGGGGTATTTGAACAGGAAGTGCAATATGATTGGCAGTCTGAATATTGTGCAGTCTGCAAATAGGTCACAATTGTAAGAGTACAAATGTGCAGAAGCAGCCAGTACAAGGCCAACGAGGAAAACAGATAAAGCCTATGCAAATCTGGAGGAGAACTGATAGTGAAGATAAGTGACAAAAAGAATGAACAAGTACAAAAAAATGGGCAAGTAAATGGTGGAAAAGATGATGAGAACAAGGGGCAGGCTAATGAAACAGTACCACAAGCAGAAGGATGGACAATGGTGAAAACAAAGTCAGCAAACAAAATGGCCAAAAATGGAGGTAACACAGATAGAGAGGTCGATACAAATAATGGCTTTAGCTCATTAGCAAGGTGGGCTGATGAAGGCCAAGTCATAGTAATACAATAAGATAAACAGTATGAAAGGGGACAGAGTAGCCAAGGGGATGCAGGTAGTCAAGACCATTTCCCTCCATTACTAAGATAAAAGTTATCACTTGGAATGTGATGGGGGTAAACAAGGTGTATAAGCAAAAGAAGTTAAGGGAGTTTATCAAGGTGAATGAAGCTAATGTTATAGCTATTATTGAACATAGAGTAAAGGAATGTAAAGATGGACAAGTGATAAATAAAATAGTACCTACATGAGAAGGGATCTCAAACACTTCTTTGAATAATAAGGGGAGAATATGGCTATTATAGGATCCAAAAGTTGCTATAGTGAAGGAAATCAATGTACATAGTCAATACATACAAGCTGAAATCAAATGTGTTGCCAATACAAATGACCTATCACTTTACTGCTATATATGACCTCCATACAGTGCAAAATAGAAAAGAACTATGGAGGAAGCTTCGAGAGATAGAAAGCAGACAACAAGAACCATGGCTAGTAATGGGAGACTTCAATGCTATTCTTGAGGTAGAGGACAATGTACATGGAACTGTGGTGCAAGACCATGAGATAAGGGAGTTTAGAGAATTTGTAGAAGATGCTGGTATGACTGAAGTAAAGGCAATAGGGAGGTCATTTACATGGATAAACAGTCATGTTTTTAGCAAAATTGGTAGGGCACTAGTAAATGGAGAGTGGATGAACAAGATGCCTCCTATTCAAGTTCATGTTCTAGACCCATGTTTTTCTGATCACTCGCCCTTATGTATTAAATTGGGAAGACAACAGAAGGAAACAACTAGACCATTCAGATTTATGAATTGCTTGGCTGATAATCCTAACTTTGAGAAGATAGTAGCAGATAATTGGTAGATAAATACTAATACAGGATACATGAAAAAAGTATGGCTGAAGCTGAAGCATATGAAACAAGCAATGAAGGGCCTAAATGCAAAAGAGTATTCTGGGATTGCTGACAAAATTAAAGGCATCAGGAATGAGCTTCAAATAATACAACAACAGATAAGAACTCCTAATCAGGATTCCTATTATTTTGAAGTGGAAAAAGAGCTAAAGTTACAGCTGGAGAAATGGGATATAGTAGAGGAAAGCATTTATAAATAGAAGTCTAGAGTCCAATGGCTTAATCTAGGAGACTCTAACTTAGCTTACTTTTTTGCCAGCATAAAGAACAAGATAGCTCAGAACCAGATCAAAGCACTTACAAATGCAGTAGGGGATATTGTCCAAATAGAGAAAGAAATAGAAGAGGATATACTAAACTTCTATCAGGGATTACTTGGGGCTGCAAATCCTATACTACCTGCTGTAAATTTAAATGATATAAGGAGGGGACCTGTGCTTTCAAGGAAGCAACAAATGCAGCTTATCCAACCATTTAATAGAGAATAAGTTTGGCAAGCACTTCAGGGGATAGATGATAACAAAGCTCCAGGGATAGATGGATTCAATTCACTATTCTTCAAGAAAGCATGAGCCACGATTGGAGAAGAGGTAACTGAAGTTGTTTTGGAGTTCTTTGATACTCATAAGCTTTATCAACCGATAAACTGTACATCTATAATACTGGTGCCTAAGATTAAAAACCCTACATTAGTGAAACAATATAGACCACTTTCTTGCTGCTCCACATCATATAAGATCATCTCCAAAATGCTTACTAGTAGACTACAGGGAGTCATGGATAGCATCACTGATAAGAGTCAAGCTGCATTTGTTCCTGGCAAACTTATAACAGATAATATGATCCTCAGTCATGAGCTAGTGAAAGGATATGGGAGGAAAGAGGTGTCACCAAGATGCATAATCAAAATTGACATGCAAAAAGCCTATAACTCTGTTGAATTGGTGTTTTTAGAGCAAGTGTCACATGCACTTAACTTCCCAGATATATTTGTGAAATGGATCATGGTGTGTATATCAACAGTATCATACTCTGTTATTATAAATGGTAAACCAAGTATCCCCTTCTCTGCTAAGAGAGGAGTAAGGCAGGGTGACTCTTTGTCACCTTTCCTGTTTGTGATTGCAATGGAATACCTTAGCAGATCATTAAAGACTTTGGCAGAAAATCCCGATTTCAACTATCATCCTAGATGTGATAAACTGGACATAATACAACTGAGGTTTGCAGATGATTTGTTGTTGTTTTGTAGAGGGGATGCGATATCTACTCAGCTGTTATATAAACAATTCCAGCAATTCTCTATGACTTCTGGATTAATTGCAAATCAAGGGAAGAGTGTTGTGTATTTTGGAGGGGTACCAGAACAGATTCAAGATCAAATTATAAAGGAGCTAGGTTTCTCTGTGGGAACTCTACCTTTCAGATACTTGGGAGTGCCATTGAGTTCAAAAAGGCTAACTATTGGACAATGCCAGCCACTTCTGGAAAGGATGGTGGGGAGAGTGACTTCATGGACAACAAAGATGCTATCTTATACAGGGAGATTGCAGTTGATTAGAAGTGTGCTTATAACTATTCAACAATTATGGTCACAAATTTTTATACTACCAAAGAAGGTGATGCAAAAGATTGAACAAATATGTAGAAGATTCTTATGGAATGGGAATAAGAATGCTCAAAGATGGCTTTAATAGCATGGGATAAAATTTTCTTACCAAAATCAACAGGGGGTCTCAACATAGTTAATATATACACATGGAATAAAGCTTTTATTCGAAAATTTCTGGAACTTATGCAAGAAGAAAGATAGGTTGTGGGTTCAATGGGCGCATAGTTACTATATAAAAGTGGCTCAAGTATGGGAAAGCTATGTTCCAC